GCACATGCGCCCGGCGTGAGTTTTAAGCCACCGGGTCCGGGACGCGAACCGCAGTCGACTATGTGGGAGTCCAGCGACATAGCCATTACACTAACTGCTGGTTCCCTAGTCTGGAAATCTTTTCACATCTGTTCCTGAGATTATTTTTTCACATCTGTTCCGGAGATTTGGTGCTGCCTCAGACTCAGAAACTGAAATCACAACTACTTGCAAATTGGTGTCAAATCAGCCACCAGGTGGCAGCCTTGTTCCAGGGTGCTACTTAGGAAATGGGGCTGGGTTCTACAGTCCAGGCAGCTTGACCTGGCAGAGGGAACAGCCTGCGTGTGGGTGGACATCTCATGTCTGGGCTGTCCCGTGTGGCCTGGGCTGTTTTCTAGATTACCCTGTTCTCTTTGAGTGTTAAACAATGACAACGGCTGTTACATTTACGGAGGCTTATTGTGCACTGAGCTCTGGGCTCAGCGTTTCCATCTTTATAGCCATTTGAAACTAATTAGAGAGGGACTGTAGCCTCTTCAAAGCGTCACAGCTTATAAGTGGTGGGACTGGGATGGTGGCTTGTCTGTTTGTCAGTGCTCCTGACGATGACACTACACTGCCCCAGTTCCTGGGAATGTGCTTATTGTAAAGCTGTGTAATAAAATTCTAAGTCTTGAGTTCCTATGCAGCTGAGGGCAGCCTTGAGGAGCATCCAGTATAATGCTTACTGTGTATCTTTTTCCTCTGCAGAATCTGCTATTCCAAAGAAACTGTGCAAGTAAGATAAAAATAAAGTAGCTTAGCTAGTGGAGTGGTTCCCACGGTAAATCCATGGTCCAGCCAGCGCCATCAGCATTGGCATCCCCTAGGAATATTAGAAATTCAGCCCCTTGGCCCCACCTCAGACCTACTGATTCAAGACCTCGAGGGGTGGGGTCAGCCTCCTACCTGTGTTCTAACGAGGCTCCCCTCGCCACACACACACCCATGAAGTTTGAGAACCACCGTTTGATCTGAAGTGGAGATATAGGACAAAGACCCTCATCTTGAGAGGAGGCAGGGAACCCTCCACCCAGGCCAGCCTGAGCTGCTGCTATTACATTTGTTGACCTGTTTATAATGCTTTAGTTTAATTCTTTTTTTATTCTAATGTTTGCCATAGGGCATATGTGTTCGCTGGAGATAGAGAGAGGGGAAAGTGGGAAATCATCCCCAGGAGGGATGGCCATGCCATAGTCTCTTTTTCTCCATTTTCCTCTTGAGGTTTTGGGCACACACGCAGATGCGCCCGGCCTGTTTTACGAGCCACTGGGTCTGGGACTTGAACCGCGCCATTGGCCATGTGGGATCCAGCTGCCTTAACCTCCATGCCATCTGCTGGCCCTAGTTTAATTTTTGAACTGTTTATGCTCTAGTTCAGGAGTCCCTAACCGCCAGGCCGTGGACCAGCTCGTGGCCCTAGATACTGGACCACACAGCAGGAGGGGAGCAGCAGGTGAGGGAGTGAAGAGTCTGTGTTTCCACCACTCCTCACCACTGGCGTTATCGCCTGAGCCCGGCCTCCTATCAGTTCAGCAGTGGCATCAGCGTCTTACAGGAGCCCCCAGATGGTGCCACCTAGTAGCAGGAAAACAAGCTCAGGGCACCCGCTGGGTCTGCATCATGGTGAGCGGTGTTATCATTTCATCATGCACTACAATGCAATAATAATAGGAAAAAGTGCACAAGACATGCAGTGCTGGCGACTCATCCTGAAACCACACACCCCGTCCCACCCCAGTCTGTGGATAAATTGTTTTTCCAATCTGTGGAAGCTGATCCCTGGTGCCAAAAATGTTGCGACCCCTGCTCTAGCTCAGGCACTTCTGGCCACGGCAGCATGATAGTCACATTCTGAAGTGTGTGTGCATGGAAGGTTAAGGACCGCTGACCAGGTTGGGGAGCAGGGAGCCATAAGGGCCCACCCATGTGTGGATTACAGAGCACGACTGCCTTGCCCCTCCTAAAATGTCCCTATGCTCATCCCAGGAATCTGTGAATGTCTCTCTCTCTCTCTCTATATATATATATATGTATATATATATATATATATATATGTATATACAACTATATATATATACGTATATATGTATATACAAATATATATATATATATATATAGTTGTCAGAAAAGTCATAATGTATCTTTCTCTATATTTTTTCTATGCAAAAATGAGTCATGACTTTTCTGACAACCACATTATATATTGGAGCTCTCATGACACTGCATTTCTCCGGCATCCCCCAGGGTCTCCCTCACTCCATCCCTCCTCACCTCCAAGATCTCCAGGTCCCCCAAGGCTTTTCTGTCTTCTAAGACTGCATTTAATGCTCTCCTCCCGCTGGAATGCAGGCTCTGGGAGGTCAGGGCCTGGCTCTATTGTGGCTCAGTGACTGTGGAATGAATGGGTGGGTCTGGAGGTATGAGGAAAGCCAGCTCTGCTGCACTGACAGCCTCCTGGACCTTGTGTCCTGGCTCAGCTTCCTCCACCTCCTGGCTCCTCCTTCCCCTCCACCATCACTCACTCAGCAAACATGTACCGAGCCGTGGTATGTGCCAGGTTTGACAGTCAGAGACAGTGTCACTGAGTAGACTCTTGGGGGCCTCAGGAAGGAACTGGAGTAGAATAGGAAGCCTGAGGCCAGCAGGTGTCCTGTACAGAGGAGGACGAAACCAGACTTCCACACTTTGATTATATTGTCTGTGGTACGAATCACCGAACACGCATGTGCCTGTGAACCAGCACACAGAGAACTGGAGTTTCTGCTGGCATTTCTTGGAAGAGGCAGCTCTGTACAAGGATGACCAAACACGCACGCTTGTGGCCATGGGTTCGAGTCCTAACTCGAGGCCTCAGTAGCTGTGCAACTGTGGGCCAGTCAGTTCCTCTTTCTTTCTTTGTGCCCTCATCTGTAAAACAGAACCGACCCAACCACTCCTACCCCAGCGCACGTGACTTGGATCATTGTGGCGGCAACCCAGTGAACTGGAAGGGAGGAACTGTGGCATAGCCAAGCCTGTTCAGGCCAGATCCTCGCTCTTGGTGTATGCCCAACCCACAGTGAATTCTAATACTGAATATTTTCTTGCCTTCTTTTTTGAGGGCAAAGGGTCCTTTGCTCAAATGCCGTAGCAGGTGCCAAAAATAAAAGGAAAGGATTCATGAGAGAATACGCTTGTCCATTGATGGCATTTTTCTGCTTTGCTTTGATTGTTTCTTTGGTTTTAGTGGGAGAATAGGTTAGATGGTTGCCGGGACCACAGTCAGGTTGAAACCACTGGTGGTGGGGATGGATGGCAGGTTCTAAAGACGGAAAGCAGAGAGGTGTTCACCTCTTGGAAACTGACAGAAGCATCCACAGGAGACACCTTGCTCTGCGTCCACAGTAGGAGACACTGAACTCTGGGAAGAATAAGGGGTCTTTGAGGACCCTACTGGCTGGAGCATGGGCATAGAGCTCCACCTTGGGGCTGGGGTCTATGGGGTGGAGCTGGACAGAGATTCAAAGTGGAGAACAAATGAGCTGGCCCCGTTGCCTAGTGGTTAAGGCAGCTGAATCCCACATGGGTGCCTTCGGATTGAATCCTGCCCCAATGACTTGAAAAACACTCAGGCATGTGCGTATGTGTGCCCCAAACCCCGAGACAGAGAACTGGAGGGGAAAGAACTGTGTCATGACCTCACCCCTTAGAAGGTACTTTCCTCCTCTCCCGGACTCTCTCTTTAGCAAGTGCACACTCCCTCTGGCAATGGAAGGAAAGGCAAAAAGGAAAAAAGGTAGATTCAGTGGGGAACAGCGAGGGTCCAGGGAGGAGCCCCCAAAAGATCACAGATCATTTATTCGCTCAGCCAGTAACTTTCCAGCACAAACTGCTGGCCACGCCCGTGCCTATAGCAGCAGTACAGACTGAGTGGGGAGTGATGGAGAGCTGCCATTCAAAGGAAGGCTGGGCTAGAACCTTAAATCCTGGAAGGTAAAGAGAGCCCTGAGGACCGGGTGGCGACAGCAGCAGAAGCACTGGTGGGATGACTTTCTCTCTCTCTCTCTCAGAAGAAATGACTACACTTTATTTATTTATTTATTTATTTTTGAGAGATTTTTGCTATAGGGCGCGTGCGCTCGCCAGACAGAGACAGACATAGAGGCAAAAAGTGAGAAATCACCCACCAGGGGGGATGGCCACGCCGCAATCCCTTCTCCTCCATTCTCCTCTCGGGATCTTGGGCACACACGCACACACGTCCCACGTGAGTTTTAAGCCACCAGGTCCGGGACACGAACCGCAGTCGACTACATGGGAGTCCAGCAACATAGCCATTACACTAACTGCTGGTCCCACTTCATTTATTTTTTTAAAGGCAGATTAGGAAGCCGGCATTCTCAACCCAAGGTTGGCCATCAGCGCCAGGTGGACTCCTGTCCTGATTTCTTTTGTCAGAAGAAATCTGACAGAAGACCCGCCCTCATTCTTAAACCATTTACTAGAAGGTTCTCCCCTCTGCCCAAACTCATAAAAAGATGTGTGAGCTCCGAGGTGGAGGGAGATGTGGCGTGTCTTCTTCTCCTGAGTTCCAGGGCCTGCACGCCTTCCCTTGCACGGGCAACGACGGGAGAGCTGGACTCGCCTCAGCACCAGCTCTTGCAAATCTCGCAGTCAGATCTAGTTCTCCCATTGGACCAGCTGCTCCTTGAGGGCACTTAGCAAGTCATGAGAATGTGAAGGAGTCACACCACTCAGAGCCCCAGTTTCCCCTCCTGTGAAACGAGGGGGTGGAACTCAAGGACTCTTCCCGCCCTCTCTCCCAGTCCAGGTCTATCTTCTCTACGCACATGGCACTGCGGTAGCATCAAAGAGCTTTATTGCGGGGTGAAAGAGAACGGAACCTGTGGTCTGGAGTGGGGAAAGGTACAGTCAAGCACAGACCATGGTTCCGAGGGCCCCTCTGGTGGGCCGGGTCTGATATCTGGGGTCATCTGTAGCCACTCACTGTCCAGCAGGCCTGGAATGACACTGCAGGCCTCCAGCTGGTTCTGCTGAGCTGCCAGTGGGGCCGGGGCACTTCTCAGAAGCGTGGAAGAGGGTGCAGGCGAGGTGGCGGGACAGGGATTGCATGCTCCCGCCGGGACATGGCACATCGCGGTGGTCTGGGGAAGGCCGAAGTGTAAGTGCTCTCTTGGGGGCCGGCCTCCAGTGCAAGCCAGCTCTGCTTCAGCCGCTCATAGAGGCCATAGTTTGTAGGGGGAGCTGCAAGGGAAACCAGGGTCTGGGTGAACAGGGCTTAAAGGAGGAGTATGGCCCCAACTGGCTACAAGAAAATGTTATGGGGGTCCTGAGATTTTTCCCAAGGTGCTCTACCAGGGACTGAGGCTGGCAGGGCACCTGAAGGAAGAACTAGCTCTGCAGGAGTCTCAGGTGGGGCCTGCTCCCTGAGGACCCGAGAGAGACCAGGTGCTGGACAGAGGCCTTGGAGAGGTTAGCCCTGGTGTGCTGGGAGAGGACCATGTGGGTTGTGCAAGTGATGTCAGGGGAACCCACACACCAGTAAGGTAGAGCGAGGGCAGCTCCTTCTCCTACTGATGGCCCTTTACGTGGACAGGCAGGACGACAGAGACAGTGGCGCGGTGTCCTCTGGTGGGGATGGGGGTGCTGGACATGCAGATCCGATCAAGGCAGGCTCCTGCCTGGATGCCTTCAACGTCTTTGACCATGTGTGGGACAGTGTCTACCCTCTTCATGTGCTCTACAAGCCCATAAGTGGCCCTCTTCTGCTCCTGCCTCACAACTTTTTCACTTACTGTCCCCTTCGCAGAAAAGTTCTTCCCCTAAATCCCTATGTCGCTCCCTCCTTCTCCGTTCAATTGTCCCCTCGAGAAAGACTGTTTCCCATCATTCCCAGAAGGCATTTACCCCACGTCTCTTTCTGTTCATCACCCATTTTCTTCTCGGAGCATAGGTCTCTGTCAGAAATGATTCTATTTGCTCAATTTGAAGTTACCATATTCATGTATGGTGTCTTATCTGTCTGTCTACCAGAACGTCAACTCCCTGAGGGGGGAAATTCCTCAGTGTTTATCAGTGCAGTGTTCCCAGGTGCCATGAGGTGGAACGCCACCTGAGGAATAGTCAGGCACTGCTCATCAAAGGAGCGGCTGTTGGGGAGCGTGGAGGCTGGTGCTCCCCGCCCCCTGTGCTCCTGGTAAACATGTGGCCATGCCATTATCCCAGGTGTCAGGAGGAGGGCAGGTGACCGCCTTAGAGGAAAATAGGACTTTTTCCCCTTTAAGGTCATCTTGGATCCTTCTGCAAGAGGAGGCACACCTTAGCCCTGTGCATTCGTGGACCCCTTACAGACTGACGCAGAGAAACCCTGAACCACAGAAGTACCGAGAAGTGGGAAGTCGGACTTCTCCGGCAGCCACAGCAACTTCTGCGTACTCCAGGTCCGGAGCGAGGGCAGGCCCGGGTTATAACTGTGCCGGTTGTAGTGGTCGTCGTACGTGCTGATCAGATAGCGGTGCGAGGGCTCCCGGTGGTGGGTGAGCAGGTGCTTGTACGGGAGGCCCTGGAAGGCAGACACCGTGGGAATGTCACTGATCAAAGCAAGGCATCCTCTTGGCCATGGATGGATGGAGACAGGACTGCTCCACCTGAGGGTCTGGTGGAGATGAGTCCTTCATGGCTGGCAGTGAGCCCTCAGGGCCACCAAATAGATGTCATGCTGGTTTGTCCCATGCTACTGCAGCCCACCTTCAAACATGCCCCAGTTCACTACAGTCAGTCCTCTGTGTGATCGGTCCCAGGCTATGCCAAGTCAGTTCCTCCCTAGAATGAACTATGGCGGCACATTAAATTAAAGTCCAGACACTAGGCCAAATGGGGGGAGCATGAGCCACTTCACTGCCAGCCCTTGGGATCTGAAATTACAGCTGTAGACTTGTCCCAAGCCTCGTTCATGCAAGTGTGTATTTCCATGACACGTGAAAGACGGCGAATACCAGCCCGACATCCGCGCCCTGTATTTCAATCAGATACTGTGGGAAGAAGCAGAGACCACGCCATAAATCACCTTCTCTTGCAAAGGATTTACGGCTGCCCCAGCTGGAATTAAGGGGAGCGGTTTCTTTGGTGGGGAGTTATTTACAGGGAGAAGAAAGCCATGTTCTCCTTACTCTGGGATGTTTGCCTGACTTGGTGCTTTTCCTAGGAAAGTCCTCGTGGTCCTGGGAGGGAACCCTGGGGACCCGGCTGATTTACAAGGAGGATAATGCCATTTTCCATGTGGTCCTCCTTGTCTGGAGCAGACAGGGAGGTCTGTGTCTGCTCTGGTCTGGAAACGCTGCCCCCAATATTTCACATTTGGCTCCATACATAAATCAGATCACAATGCCAGAGGGGGCCGAGGGGAGGGCCCCAGGCACTGAGCAGGGTTCCCAGGAGCTACACCACCAGGTGCCTGTGCCAGGGAAAGCGAGTCGGAGGCTTTCCCATCAGCAAAGGAAAGTGCTGAGGAGGCACTGCAGCAGGAAAGGAGGGAAGCCAAGAGGGACGGTCTTGCCTTTTTGTTTGTTGGTTGGTTTGGTTTGGTTTGGGGCGTGGCCCTGCTTGTCTCGATTGTGTACCTGCGATTTTTGTTCTCACCTGGTATAGGTATAAGGCAGGAGAGAGGGATATTAAACATGTAGTTAGGGTAAAGGCCCAAGATGGAGACACATAAGCTGTACCCATGATGGAGTCACAATGGCTAAGTTTTTAACAAAGAGCTGGCTGCATTAGGGCTCAAAACAACTACTGCTAAGGGCAACTGTTTCTATTTGCTAAGTACCTTCTAACAAGCAGTGCAGGTGATATGTTCTAGGACCCCACAAAGAATGGGGTGATAAATCACCACACCACCCTGTCACTATTTCCTGAAGCCCGCTTCCTTATCAGAGAGCCAGCCCATGCTTAGACTGCTGAAGAAACCCCTCGCCTCAGCTCCTCCTCGGCAGCCCACTTCCAGGAGCCCTCTCTGCTCAGAGAGCTTTCCTCTCCTTCAATAAACCTCGCTTTGCTATCCCCTCCTGCGATCCAAGCTTCTAATCCTTTGTGACTGCAATCCACAAATCCTGCAATGGTAAGGTAACAGACTTGGAGACAATAGTGTTGTTTTGTTTTTGCTAAAGCTAGTAAATGCTCGCCACAGAGAGAGGAGAGAAACACACACACCCTCCCTGAGGAATAGCCAAGCTTCAGTTTCTTCTCCTCCATCTCTCCCTCTATTGACGATTTGGGGCATGCATGTACATCATGTGCCGGGCATGTTTCTTAAGTCACTGGGTCTGGGACTCGAATAGTTCAGTTGGCCAGGGGATCCAGGGGTCCTAACCACCAGACAATAAAGCCAGCCTGGGACAATTGCCTCAGAAAAGAGTCTATGGCAGTTCCCAGGAGGAGGGGCAGGCCATGTTCTGCAGGGCCACAGGGCAAAGCTCCAGGCTGGTTAGGAGGTGGAAGTGAGGAGAGTGCAGGGCCCAGAGCCTTTACTGTAGTTTCTGTGGGCGGACAAGCAAGTTTGAGAAAGCTCAGGATTTAACAGTGTGAATAATGTCGGTGAGCTCTGGACTATAGGAATGAGCTCTAGTTGTCCAGCGCTTGACCCTGAGTGATATGAGACAGAGGGAATGTTGGCATGGTGTGGGAGAATTCGATCAAAGAAGCTGCTGAGGAGATGGGCTTTGGGTAGTTGGTTTGCCTATGAAAAGTGTGTTTACAAGCAAGTTATTCACTACCTCTTAGCTAACTTTGGGGTAGTCTCTCTGATTAGCAATGCCCCCACAATGTCAAAGCATTGTAAGATACAGAAAATAAAGCACACAGTTAATACACCTGCTTAGGGAAAAAGTATGGGAAGGAGTGCTCCCTGGGGGGTGATAAGGCCATCTATCAACTTGGAGAACAGACTCAGTATTTGCCTGAGAGGGAGGAGCATAGAGTGGTGGTGGGAGATGAAGAAAGAAGCTGCCTAGGAGGAGGAATGCAAAATGATGCCAACAGGAGAGCTAACAGAGTTGAAACAGCCTCATGGAAACAGTCTGTGTCCAGGGCCTGGGCAGGCAAGTAGGCAGTTTGAGTAGAAAACATTGAAATAAATATCTCATTGTTTGGTGCTCTCGCTCTTTCTTACTTGTAACCAGACTTTGTTTCTGTGTGGTTATCCATTAGGCAGGGTTTGGAACAGGTCCAAAGATCCTTAAGAAAGGCTAATGCAGTGAGAACAAGGCTAAGTACCTTGCGTACACTGATGCTTGAAGACTGGGAGCCCCGGATGGCAGGTTCTAATTTTGACTGGCATATATGAAAACGCATTTGTGTCTTCAGTGCCCACTAAGGTCAGTAGCCCTGGAGCATAGACATGCCTTGGAGTTGCCAGCTCAGCACAGGCCTGCCAGTGCAGTCCAGAGATGCCAACACAGTTCGAGAATGCCGGCGGAGTCCAAATATGCTAACATGGTCCAGGGACTCCAGCGCAGTCCAGGGATTCAAGCACAGTCCAGAGATGCCAGCACACAGCCGGAAATCTGGCACTATGTATGCTGGCATGGAGCTCCAAATTCAGAAGAGACATAGTCCACTCTGGACTATGAAATGGGATCTGAGGACATTCTTTGCCTGCTTTGCAGAGCAGCCACCTGCTTGGTCCCTTACTCATGAGCCACAAGGTGCTGGACAAGAATCGCACCAACTCTGAGTGCTGCACTGAACAATCTCTTGGATCACTTCAAGTTCTAAAATGCTCCGATTCCTAACGATGCTCACTGCCTTGTTCCATACTTTCCCACTCTCACTCCAAGTTTGAGCAGGTATGCCGTCAGGTGGGGTGGAGTGGGGAGACAGAAATCACCTCCAAGAACAGCAGGCTGGTGAAAGAAGCAGCTTAGGGGAACCCACAGAGTGTGGTGGGGACAGAGCACAGCTGTACACCAGGTGGGTGAGTCCCTACAAGCTTGCTCTCCCTAGGGGTACCCGGTGGGAGGCGCCCACAGGGATTAATGTAGGAGATGAGGGAAAGACCAGGATCTCTGAGCCTCTGACACTCTCTTGCCCTCCTTGGGTGGGGGAGGCATGGCCTGAGGTTGCAGGACTCTGCTCCCTGCTCTGAACACAATGATACACGCACACAGGCACCCATAAATGAGGACAGTGTATAAATGGTCCTCCACTTGGGGCACAGATGATGTAAAACTTTGTTCATCCAAACATCACACCATTGCTCTTGGAGAACCTGTGTGAGGCCTTCGTTCGAACTGTACCTCCTGGTTATTCTTTCTCACAGCCTTTGTCTGCATTTGTTGCAACAGCATGACACAATTCAGGTGCTAGGATTTGGGGTGAGGTGGAGGAGAATACTGCCGGCTTGAGACTAGACACATCATCTGCTACTTGGGGAAGTAAGGATTAGAGCCAGACTGGGAGGTTATAACTGAGACTCCTTGGAACCAGCAGATGGCATAATGGTTACATCACTGGACTCCCACATAGTCACCCCTGCAGTTCAAGTCCCAGACCCAGTGATTTAAAACTCATGCTAGGCATGTGTACGTGCATGCCCAAAATCCCGAGAGGAGAATAGAGAAGGAATTGCGGTGTGGCGAGCACATATGTCCTCTAGCCCACCCTCCACCCCCCCAAAAAATAAATAAGCCAGCTCTTTAGAAAAATAAATAAATAAAAAAATAATAGAGACTCCTGTTTCCCCAGAGGGGATGGAGCCTATAAGAAGCTGACTGGTGGCCCCTGAGCCTCTTACCTCCACTCTCCTCTTCCCATACCACCTGGAGATCTGGTCTGGTCTGTGGCCTGGAAAGGGGACAAACTCTTTTCTGTAAATGCTTTGTGGTGTCTTCTCAGTGGCTCGGGTGAACTAGAAAAGACCAAATATTCAGGAGCTCCTCTGAGATGCCACTGTCAAACCTCTGTGGATCCCCTTCCCTCCTGGGTCATTGGAAGAACGGCAGAGAAAAGGTAAGTAGGACCCCCGGACCATGCTGCGCAGCACAGGAAAGCAGCTTGCTCGGGGGCTGGTAGCCCGTATCCACATCCTTCCGAAAAGCTACGGTCAGCTCACCTGGCCCCCTCTTCCTGGTCTCAGCCCATTTCTGTCTCCCCTTCTATCTCCCTGGCCCTCTCCCCTACTTGTCTCCTCTCTTCCTTTTTTCCTTTGCACCTCACTCTCCCCAATTCCACTTTCTCCTCCTCATTGTATTATGTTTTCTAATTGATTGTCTTAAAACTTAATAAGGTAAAATACACACAACATAAATTTGACCATTTTAGCCATTTTTAAGTGTACAAGTTCAGCAGCATTAAGTACGTCCCTACTGTAGTGTAGCTAGTCACCGCCACCCATCTCCAGAACTCTGTCTTGTTAAACTAGAACTCTGTTCCCATTAAATACTCCCCCTCTCCCCTCCCCTCAGCCCCTGACAACCACCATTCTACTTTCTGTCTGTATGAATTTGCCTATTATGGGTATCCCAGAAAAGTGCAGTCACACAATATGTGTACTTTCATGTCTGGCCTGTTTCACTGAGCACATCTTCAGGATGCACCCATGTGGTGGGATGTGTCAGAATTTCCTTCCGTTTTAAAGCTGAAGGACATTCCATTGCACGTGTGTGTACCACATTTTGTCTCTCCATTCTATTGGTGAGTACTTGGGTTGCGTCTGTCTTTAGGCTACTGTGAATAATGTTGCTATGAATGCAGATATGCAAATCTCTTTTTGGGTCCCTGCTTTCAATTCTTTTGGATATACACCCCGAAGTGGAATTACTGGGTCTGGTAATTCTAAGTTTCCGTTTTTGAGGAGTTTTCCAGAGCAGCTGCACCATTTTACATTCCCAACAGCAGTGCATAAGACTCCCTGTTTCTGCAGTCCTCAACAACACCTGGTATTTTCTCTTTTTTTGACAATAGCTATCCTAACGAGTGCAAAGAAGAATCTCATTGTGGTTTTGATTTGCATTTCCCTAATGATTACTGGTGTTGAACATTTTTTCGTGTGTTTGTTGGCCGTGTGTATCTTGTTTTCAGAAAAGTCTATTCAAGTCCTTGGCCCATTTTTTAATTACGCTCTTTCCTTTTTGGTTGAATTGTAGGAATTCTGTATCTATTTTGGACAATAATCCCTTATCAGATATGTGATTTGAAAGTATTTTCTGCCATTCCATGAATTGCCATTTTACTTTGTCAATATTGTTTTTTGATACACAAAAGTTTTTATTTTGATGAATTCCAATTTGTCTTTTTTTATCTTTCATTGCCTGTGCTTTTGGTGTCATGTCCAAGAACTCATTGTGAAATGCAATGTCACGGAACTTTGCCCCGTGCTTTCTTCTAAGAATTTTATAGCTTTAGGTCTTACATCTAGGCCTCTGATACACTCTAAGCTAATTTTCATGTATGGTATTAGGTAAGAATACAACTTCATGCTTTCTCTTATGGATTTCCAGTTCTCCCAACACCCATTGTTGAACAGACTGTCCTTTCTCCATTGAATGTTCCTGGAACCCTTGTCAAAAATCATGTGACACACAGCTAGCAGGTGTTGGGGAGGCTGATTCCACATGGCTGACTGCACGGTTTGAGTTCTGGACCCAGCAGCTGAAAAACACACTGGGCACCTGTGCATGCATGCATGCCCAGATCCCTAAAGGAGGGAGAAATGAAGAAGGGATCATGGCATGCCCATCCCCTGTGGACATGCTTTCTCATTTTTCTCCTCTCATTCTCTCTGGCAGTTTTTTTTTTTTTTAATTGACATATAGGCAAGCATTTATTTCTAGGCTCTCTCTCTTGATTCATTGGTCTATGTAATTGTCATTACCCCAGTGTCACACTGTCTTGAGTGTTGTAGATTCGTAGTTATTTTTTTTCCCTTTTTTTTCTTTGCTATAGGGTGCGTGCGCTCGTCAGACAGACAGAGACATAGAGACAGAAAGCGAGAAATCACCCCCCAGGGGGGATGGTCACGCCGCAATCCCTTCTTTCCATTCTCCTCTTGGGATCTTGGGCACGTACGCACACGTGCCTGGCGTGAGTTTTAAGCTACCGGGTCCGGGATGCGAACCGCGGTCAACTATGTGGGAGTCCAGCAACATAGCCATTACGCTAACTGCTGGTTCCCATCGTAGTCAGTTTTGAAATCAGGACATGTAAGTCCTCTAACTTAGTTCTTTTTAAAAATTGTTTTGTTTATTTGGGGTCTCCTAAGATTCCATATAAATTTTAGAATGGATTTTTTTTTATTTTTCCTAGAAAAAATGTTATTGGGATTTCAACGGGAATTGCATTGAATCTATAGATAGCTTTGCATAGTATAAACATCTTAACAATAGTAAGTCTTCATCCATAAATGCAGAATGTTGTTCCCTTTCTTTATGTCAACTTTAATTTTTTCAGTAGTGTTGGGGAATCTGGTATATCTCTTTCATCTCCTCAATTAAATATATTCCTAAGCATTTTATTCTTCTTGATGTTATTGTAAATAGAATTGTTTTCTTAATTTCCTTTTCAAATTATTAGTATATAAAAACATAACTGATTTATTTTCATTGTTGTCTAGTTTTTGCTATAGGGTGTGTGCACTTGCCAGAGAGAAAGGGGGTGGGGAGGGGGTGTTGAGAAGTCACCCTTTAGGAGGATGGGTAATCACACCACATTCTCTTCTCCAATTTCCTTTCAAAATTTTGGGCACACACGCACACATACCCAGTATGTTTTTCAAGCCACTAGGTCTGAGACTTGAATCACTTAGTGGCCATGTGCAGTTCAATTGCCTAATATACCACGCTACTGACTGGTCCCATAGCATAGTTTATCGCTGTTGATTTTGTTTCCTGAACCTTGCTATATTTATTATTTTTTTTTCTTTTTGGAGAGGTTTTTACTATAGAGTGTGTGCATTCACCAGAAAGGCAGAGAGAGACAGAGAGACAGAAAACGAGAAATAACCTCCTGGGGGGAATGGTCACCCCGCAATCCTTTCTCCTCCATTCTCCTCTCGGGATCTTGGGCATGCATGCACACATGACTGGCATGAATTTAAGGTACCGGGTCTGGAACTCAAACCATGGTCGACTACATAGGAGTCCAGCGACATAGCCATTACACCAATTGCTGGTCCCACTATATTTATTTGTAAGTTTTAACAGAGTGTGTGTATGTTTGTGTGTGTGTGTAATAATCTTTAGGGTTTTCTACCTATAAAATCATACCATCTAGAAAAAGTAATTTTGCTTCTTCTTCCAATGTGGATGCTTTTCTTTTTCTTTCCTAATTACTCGGGCTAAACCTTCAAATACTATGTTGAATAGGAGTGGCCAAACCTCTGATTTTATCAGTAGAACAAATGTGCTCAGTCATTCACCTTTGAGTATCATATTAGCTATGGGTTTGTCATATATGTTCTTTTATTATGTTGAGGTAGTTTCCTTCTATTCCTAGTTTGTTGAGTACTTTTATCATGAAAGAGAATTGAATTTTGTCAAATGCTTTTTCTACATCAATTGAAGGGCTCATGTGTTGCTTTTTCTTTATTCAAAACACTTTCATATTTTGGGAACCAGTAGTTAGCGTAATGGCTATGTCGCTGGACTCCCACGTAGTTGACCGCGGTTCGCGTCCCGGACCCGGTGGCTTAAAACTCACGCTGGGCGCGTGTGCGTGCATGCCCAAGATCCCGAGAGGAGAATGGAGGAGAAGGGATTGCAGTGTGACCATTCCCCCTGGGGGGTGATTTCTCGCTTTCTGTCTCTATGTCTCTCTCTGTCTGTCTGGCGAGCGCACGTGCCCTATAGTGAAAACCTCTCCAAAGGAAAAAAAAAATTTTCATATTTTCAACCATTTTCACGCTCCAGAAATAAGTCCCACTTAGTCATAGTATATAGTCTCATTTTCTTCTTCTTCTTCTTTTTTTTTTTGAGAGATTTGTGCTATAGGGCATGTGTGCTTGCAGGAGAGGCAGACAGACAGAAAGCAAGAAATTAACCCCTGGGGGGATGGCCACATTACAATCCCTTCTTCTCCATTCTCCTCTTGGGATTTTGGGCAAGCATATACATGTGCCTGGAGTGAGTTCTAAATTGCCAGATTGAACCATAGTTGACTACATGAGAGTCTGGCGATGTAACCATTAAACCATCTGCTGCTCCCTATCATCTCTTTTATATGCTATTGAATTTGGTTTGCTAGTATTTTCATGGGGATTTCTGCATAATTATTCAGAAGAGATATTGGTCTGAAGTTTTCTTTTTTTTGTTTTTAATTTTTTTCTGTTTAGTTGCCAGAAGGCACGTAAACTTGGCGAGAGAGAGAGAGAACACCCCTGAAAGCACCCCCAAATGGGCAATATATCATTGATTGCTCTTTGTTCTTTATAAAAATAAATGGCCTTTGAAAACAGAAAACAATATGCCTTGACTTTTCCAACCATCCAATAGCACTCTCTTACTTAAGAATATTGGTAATTATTTCCTACTTTCATTTTAGGTATTTTGAGTCTTTTGTCTTTTTCCTTAGTCTGGCGAAAGGTTTATCAATTTCATTCCTCTTTTTCAAAGAACCAGCTCTTGATTCAATTTCATTAATCTTTTTCAAAGAACCAGCTCTTGATTTTTGTCATTTTTCTATTCTCTATTTTACTGAAATCTTCTCTAATTTTCATTATTCCTTCCTTCTGCTTTCTTTAAGCTTAGTTTATTCTTTTTATAGTTCGCATAGTATAAAGTTAAGTTGCTGATCTGAAATATTTTTTCTTTTCAAACGTGTTTACAGTGGTTAATTTTTCTCTTAACACTACTTCAACCACATCCCTTTGGTTTTGGTATGTTGTGTTTTATTATCATTCGTCTCGAGATACTT